CGCATCCTATAAATCACAACGCAATTACTGTGGTAGGAAAATCGGAAGCAAATTTAATAAGCTCAGACCCCTCTCACATGCTGTTTCTTCACTCTTTTCTTTTCAGTAATGAGAACTCTTTAAGGGAAAAAGGCCTTTTTCCTTTAACGGAGGCTCTTCTCCTGGTCCCTTATCTGAAGCCCATGAGGACGGGAGGATACGGAGAAGGGGGCTTCCTCTAGCTCCTCTTGTCCTATTTACCCATCAGGCAGATAGGAAGAGTTATCAGTTGTCTTTCCAGGCTTACTCTCCCTTTCATTTGCTCAACAAACATTTATTGAATTCCTATCACACATCAAAGACTTCTCCCCCCTAGAGGGTAACTGGTGTCATAACTAGTAGAACCTTAGCTGCAAGGCATGATGGGAACATGGACGGGGAGAGGGAAGCTGTGTCCATGAAGTCGGGTCCCACAAAGGAACCAGGAGTCCGGGGTGGGCCAATGGCCACAGTAGGAGCTTCTTGGTAAAGGTGATGCCAACTGCCAAGAGGATGGCAGCATATACACCCTGTGGTTGAAGAAACTGAGAAGAGGAAGGGGCAGAGAAGCCAGAGGTCTCTACAGGGCCTGAGACAGAGCCCCATCACCTGGACAGAGGGAAAGGGCTGCAGCCTGTAGGCGGGAAGGCATCTTTATTCCAGGGCCTACTTTCTACTCAAACCCTGGGCCTTTCAGCTGGGCCAACCGACCCATGGACTTCATCTGACCCACAAAAGGAAGCCGCAGTGCCAGCTGATACTCTGTGGTTTGCAAATCTGAGTAGGCATCAAAATCACTGGTGGTGCTTGTTGAGACACAGATTGCGAGGCTCCACCCCAGAGTGCCTCACTCAGTAGTTCTCGGGGAAAGCTTAGAAACTGCAGTTCTAAGAAGTCTCCAGGTGATGCCGGTGTTGTTCGTCTCCTGGTCTGGGAAAACACACTTTGAGAACCATCGTTCTAAGCCTTTGCTATTCGAAGTGTGATCAATGGACCGCCCATCGGCAGAACCTGGGGGCTTGATAGGAATGCAGACTCTCAGGCCCCACCCCAGGCCTGCTGGATCAGTTTGACGAGAACCTCAGGTGATTTAAGTTTGAGAAACACGTACCTGGAACGGCGTTTCTCAACCCTGGCTGCTCCCTAGAATCACTTGGGGAACTCAGAAAAGAGACACTTCAGCTGGTCGGACGCTGGGTATCAGCCTTTCTTAAGTTCCCCAAGTGATTCTTATGAGACGCCTGGATTGAAAACTGCTGGGACCCCCCACTCGTGACCAACACTCCACGCCCATTTCTCCAGCTTTGAACTCACCCTTGAGGCCCTCCTCTGTTCCTCCCTGACCCCCACCCCTCCTGACAACTTAAGTGATCTCCCTAATGCTCCTTTCTGACACTCGGCGTTTGGTTGCCTCTCTTGCCTGAATATGTTCAGTTTTCTCAGGAGACCCCCC